GTCTGGCTCGAGGTCAGTGACCACCCCATCGTGGTTATCAGGGATGTCAAGCTCTTTCTTGTATAGTTCTTCTGTGTAATCTTGCCACCTCTTCTTAATCTATTCTGCCTCTGTTAGGTCCCTGCCATTTTGGTCCTTTATCATGCCCATCTTTGCATGAAACGTTCCCTTCATATCTCCAATTTTCTTGAAGAGATCTCTGGTCTTCCCTATTCTATTGTTTTCTTCTATTTCTTTGCACTGTTCATTTAAGAAGGCATTCTTATCTCTTCTAGCTATTCTTTGGAATTCTGCATTCAATTGGGTGTATCTTTCTCTTTCTCCCTTGCCTTTTGCTTTCCTTCTTTCTTCAGCTATTTGTAAAGCTTCTTCAGTCAGCCATTTTGCTTTCTTGCATTTCTTTGGGATGGTTTTAGTTGCTGCCTCTTGTACAATGTTGCGAACTTCCGTCCATAGTTCTTCAGGCACTCTGTCTATCAGATCTAATTCCTTAAATCTATTTGTCACCTCTACTGTATATTCATCAGGGATATGATTTAGGTCATACCTGAATGGCCTAGTGCTTTTCCCTACTTTCTTCAATTTAAGCCTAAATTTTGCAACAACAAGCTCATGATCAGGGCCACAGTCAGCTTCTGGTCTAGTTTTTACTGACTGTATAGAGCTTCTCCATCATTGGCTGCAGAGCACACAGTCAATCTGATTTCTGTGTTGACCATCTGGTGATGTCCATGTGTAGAGTCGTCTCCTGGGTTGTTGGAAAAGAGTGTTTGCTATGACCATCGTATCCTCTTGACAAAATTCTACCAGCCTGTGCCCTGCTTCATTTTGTACTCCAAGGCCAAACTTGCCTGTTATTCCAGTTATCTTTTGGCATCCTACTTTAGCATTCCAATCCCCCATGATGATAAGGACATCATTTTGGGGTGTTAATTCTAGAAGGTGCTGTAGGCCTTTATAGAACTGGTCAACTTCAGCCTCTTCAGCACCAGTGGTTGGGGCCTAGACTTGGACTATTGTGATGTTGAATCCCAGTACTGCTTTTCCTACTCTTTATTGGCTATGAAGACTACTCCATTTCTTCTGATCTCTACTGATAGCCCGCTTCAAATTGCAAAAGGAAAGTTAAATGGAAGGGAAACATATCCAGGCTGGAATTTCAGTAATTTGAACAGTATAACTAGTCTTTGTGATGGATTTGTAATTTAGAGATCAGTCCTAGGAAAGTATGTCCCAGGGAGAGACCATAGGATTGCTTGGAAAAACACTTTGAAGCTGGACACAGTTATCTAACTCCAGATGAGATCTGCTCCTCCACCCCTGTCCACTTTCAGTAGATGCAGAAAGACCATGCTGATTGCCTCACAAGTCAGGATAAGAAAAAAGTAGGTAGAATCTGTGGAGGAAGACAAGTGTCACAGCAATGAAAAACAGGACAGTACAAGTAGAACCTGCAACAAAATGTTGTAGCATGGAGCGTTTTGTTCCATTCTCTTCCTGCCTGGTTTTTCATCCTTCCTCCGTTCCTCCACTCCCACAGCAGCAGGTCACGTTGTTCAGTACTAAATAGACAGTTTTGGAGTATTCTTTAGGATAGCTTTTCTTCTTAAAGTGATTTTGTACTTCTGAAAATTTTGGCGGTTTCCAAGCCTGTTCAAACTTCTGTCTTGTAAATGGATGGTGTCCTTTTGGCTATATAAGCATTGGCAATCATCTCTGAATTTCTGTAGTAGAGGGAATGATATCAAGATGATACCATAAAAGGTTGATTGGATTTGGTTTTAGCAATGAAGTATTCAAATCACTTTCCTGAAAGCACAAATAAAGAAGTGCTCTTAAATGTTTGTTGCAGATATTAAGGACATTGTGAACAGATAAGAAATGCATCTGATTTGCATAGCCATCCTTGAGACCAACCCAGACACAACATGAATAGCATTATTCTCATCTTTAGCCCTTGCATGGTTGATAAATAGCTGGGGAGAGCAAAGGCAAAGAGGGCTGAAAGAGTTTAATGCTCCCCCCGCCCCAGCTGTGGTCATGACCTGTACCCCTTTCCCCGCAGTTTACAAGGAGAGGAAAGTTCCCATTGGCATCAGTGGGAACTTTTATTCCATTGTAAAGAGCAGGTGTATATTTCATCCCTGATTCCTATCAGGACCATGGCAGAAGCAAATTGTTATAAAGCCTGCCCTGCAAAAGCAACTATGGTCCTGATCTGTTGCACCCACCCCACCCCATCTGGTTATTGAAAAATAATCTTGTGAGGGCTGAAGACATGAATAAAGTTGGCTAGCTTGGTCCAGTGATACATTTACTTGCTTACTACCATACGTATAGCTTCTCCATCAGGCATCTGTGATGTTGAAAGATCACAGCATAAGAGCATAAGAAAAGCCGTGCTGGATCAGACCAAAGATTCATCCAGTCCAGCATTCCAAAACACATGATGGCAAACCAACTTTGGGCCAGTCAGACTCTCAGCCTAACCTACCACACAGGGTTGTTGTTGTGGGGATAAGATTGAAAGCAGCAGCAGGAGAATGATGTCAGCTGCTTTGAGTTCTTCATAAGGAAAAAGGTAGGATAGAAATCTAATACATAAAATTAATAAAAAATAATGTAGGACTAGGGTTTCTCTGGCTTGAAAAATTTTGTTTACCTGCCTGGAACAGGTAGAACAGACAATAACTCCGAAATTTCACACAGCTCCCAGGTCACAGCTTTTATTAAACCTATGGGAATGGGGTGGTTTATAAATATGAAAATAAATAAAAATAAAACCCATACATCTCTAAAAAAACAATATCAGACATTTCTATTACCATTTTGTAATAATCTAATATTTTGTTGATGTTTTCCCATTCTAATTAAGGCTGCTTTAAAAATATAACTTAAACTTCCATGATAAAAAATAAATTTAGAATATTATTGAAAGAATTTGTCATTTAATTTTGTTCAACCTATCACTAATTTTAGCAGCATTTCCTACAGAATTCAAGAAATTCTATATACAGTAATGACACTAGGGGGCACCAAATATTTTAGAAATAAGTCTGTCAGACTGAAAAGAGCTGGGAATCTATATCTGCTGTGGTGCTAACATAAAACGTAATCCACAACCAAGGAAAAAGAATGCTGAAATATATTAATTTCCCAGAAAATTTATATGATCTATGTCTTGGAACAGAACTTGGTTTGGGATGTGCAATGAAACATGAAATGCATGATTATGCTGGATTTAGTTAGTTTTTTATTTATCCTGAACTGTATTTTTTGTGTGAAAAATGTTGGTGATGTTGCATGTGCTAGATAAAGAAGCAAGATATGCAAAACTTCACAGATTCAGATACCGCCTTGTATTTGTAGTGCTAAAGTGGTACAGGATGAAATGATGGTAAACTGATATTTACATAATTCCACCTTCTTGTTCAAGGAAAGAGCGTCTAGCCCAGCTTTCCTCAATCTGGTGCACTCCAGATATTTTGGATTTTAACTTTCATCAGTTAACAGTTCTTCATGTATGCTGGGAGTTGCAGTTCAAAATGTCTGGAGGGGGCCAAGTCAGGGAAGGCTGTTCTAGCTTGACTTTTTATTCTATTTCTATTTGGATTTTACATTGTGGATAAAAAGCTCATTCTCTGTTCAGCTGTGGCTTGCCACAAGAAACAGGGAGAGTTCTACAGAGAAAATTAGGATTTCCTCCAAATGCAAATACCAGTTTTCAAGAAGGAATAGTCACTGAGGCCATGCAAGGGAGGAAAGGGATAAATCCCCCAGACAACGATGTGAGCAATATAGTTGCAGTTTGCTGTTTTTGAAAGGCTCACACCACATAAGTAATTTGTGGTGTAATTTGGTCTGTAGGGGATGGGGTTGTATCCACTGATAGTCTGTCTTGAATCCCATTAATTTCAATTAATCTGTTCTTAAATAGGACTAACACTGGATACAACCCAGAAATCTGAAAGCTCTCTGTTCACCCCTTGAATTGTCTAAGGATGAAGTAATGACACTAATGAAGAAATATGTTTTGCTTCCAGTACCTGTATTATATATAGTCATGTTATATATAGTCATGTATGAACATGATTTTGCAACCTTGGTTTGGCTGCTAGCACTGCCCAAGAATTCCTAAATTTGTTATAAATTATAATGAAAAGTATACTTTTACTTGTATAATATACATTCCCAGTTTTCAATATATGTTGTGGGTGATGACTTGTTTAGTTCTTGACATATGTTTTAGAATTTTGGAAGAATGATAATAGAACATCACCCTGGAAACTAGACAAATGAGTTCTGCAGATAATATTTCAGACTTGGAAAACTGATTTCTGTTGGGAATTGATATCATGTGCAGTATTTTGGCTTTGAGCTAAGGAGAGCTTGAGTGAAGAAGTAGAAGTATGTTGGTATTTTTCATAATATAGATTTTCTAGGACAGAGTTTACCAATAATTCAGATAAAGCAGAAAGGTTTTATTGTGGTGTATAAGGTTTGTCTACTTGTTTATTTATTTAATTTCTATACCTTCCAACAGCCAAAACTGTCTGGTGCAGTTCACAACAGCATGTTAAAATGCAATCTAAAATACACCATATTAAAACACATTAAACTTCATGAAAATTTACAATACAAAATTTTAAACCAAATTTAAATCATATTAAAAATCTAATAACTAGAAAAACATCTTAATACCTGTTCAAAAAACCTAGCAGCCTCCAGTAAACCAAATGAATTCCCTTCAGTAGAGGACAGTCTACTTGGCACCAAAAGGATAGTAAAGTTGGTGTCACCATCCCCCTGTCTGGCTGGAAAAACACAAATCCAGAGTGTGCCCTGCTCATGCATTGGGTCAATAATGTGTTGGGATAGCCCCATGGTTGTCATGGCGTCTTGATGTCCTGAGCTTCTCCAGACAGTTCTCCCTCAGCCTGGATGTTGTCATCTCCCAAGTCCAGCAGCCTGGGGAACCTCGGCATCGCAGCTGAGACAACCTGTGTCAGCTTAGGTAGGGAGACAGTTGGGTCACGGGGTGGGTGGTACCCCAGCAGAATTCCCAGTCTGCCCCACTGGCCCAGCACAGGATGCAAACACTGGATTAGATGGTGAGGAGAAAGAGGGAGGGAGGGAGAGTTTCTATAGACCACAGCAACCCCGCTCCCTGGCCTTCCAGTCTACCTTGATGCCATACCAAGTAACCAGGTGGACAAAGGTGGGAGAGACCAACTCCCCCTGTTCACCCACCCATTTCTTAGTTATGCATGCCAAATCGTCCACCTCATCCACTGTTAAGTCATGGGTGAGGGGGTCTTACTGTGCACTGATCTGGCATTTAAAAGCAGCATCTGGAGAGCAGAGGGCAGGCTGATAAGACAAGCGCAGAAACTGCTCTTGGGAGCAGGGCTGGCACATGGCACCGTTGTTAATTGCCAGGGCCACATTCCCCTTTCCTGACTAGCTCTCCACCCAATGCCATATCTCTCCCTATCCATCACTACATTGATTGCCCCTCCATCAGAACCCCCCCTCGGTCCCGTCCCCATCCTTCACTGCACATACACAGAGCCTGTGACCCCCTCCCTCCAGGCACTGAGAATAACAGCACTGTTCAAGGGAGAGCTTGCCCTTGCACTGCCCCCAAAGGTGAGCTCCTTTGGCATCCGCCCTTTGGGGCTGTTGCGGCTGGGACATTGCTGCTCCGTGTCAGACTGGCAGATGTTACCAATCAAGTCCGCAGCAGGCAGTCTTCAGGCAGGCCTCTGCACAGAACTGGGCTCCCTGGCACTCCTCTCAGCGGGACTGAACCACCCAGACTCAGTGTCAGCCAGGAGAGAGAGGCTGAAAGGATGACAAGGGAGCTGGGTGGAAAGGTCGAGGCAAAGCTGGCAAGGTGCTAAAGCCAGCACGCTTGTCCTCACCGAGAGAGCTCAGGGCTGCTCTTCAAGGTTAGCCTGCTTGTGATGTTCAGGTCTACTTGTGTAATTGCGTTTGATGCTAGTGTTACAAAGTGCTATTCAAGTGGTTATTTAGCCAAATCCTGCTAAGCACTTTTTGAAACAACATTCTTCCTGATAATTGCAATGAAACTTGGACTCTTAACTACTAAGTATATGTTACAATTCTAGTATTATAGGAAAAAACAAATGTGTGGCAAGCAGATTTCTGAAGATACTTTTAAATACAATTCTTTTAAAAATTATAGGTGTTGTTAAAATCTGGACTTCACCCTTTCAGTAACTGTTGCTATAGTTATTATTTCTACATGTGCCTGAAGTAAGACAACTAGAGTTTCTTCATCTTTGCTTCCAGAGAAAGTTATGGCTTGATTTGATGTAGGACTCCCCCCACCACTCATCTTTTTTTGTCAGGTCAGGGTGTCTGTAAAGCTCTCCTCCAGCACCAGGTTTCAAATACATCCATTTTATTCCTGTCAGCTTTCTTCACTGTGCAGCTTTCACACCCACACATTGTGATTAGGAAGACAAAAGTGCAGATGCTCTTGGCCTCTGTCTCCAGTGAAATTTCCTTACACTTGATGAGCTTTTCTAGTTACTTCATTGCTGCCCTTCCAAGTATCAGTCTTCTAACTTTTTTGGTTGCAGTCTTCATTTGAATTGATGATCAGCCAAGGAATGCAAAGATCTTAGACAATTTCCATTTCTTCACTGTTGACAATGAAGTTCTCTAATTCTTCAGTATTCATGATTTTCCCTCCCAATGTTCAGCTTTAGTCCTGCTTTTGCACTTTCTTCTTTCACTTTCATCAGGAGTCATTTAAATTCATTGTTGATTTCTGCCAGTAA